ATATATATATATTGAAGAACAAAGCGGGTGCAACAGCGCAATAGGACATTTACTTGGGACAACATGGAACAGTCTCGATCAAAATATTTTCTTTGACATTTGGTATTTTATAAAAGTTACACCATGACAAGTAGACAAGAATATTTGACTTATGAAAAATTATAGTTTGACTTTTAGAAGTTTTTAAAATTTAAAAAATGACCCTCCTACATTAGAAAGCGTTTGCAACAGTGTAAATGGCGAAAAATAACTCTTTTGCCTTTATTTAGACTATTAATCGACTTGTACATATTCATAACCAAATTCTTCACTTAAAAATAGAGAGAGATTTGGTTTTATTCTTTATATGCTTATAAGGCATTCTCTACTCTTACGCACTCTTTTTTAGGTAACTTGTTTTTACACACATACAACGTATTTTTAGTATTAGATAATAATTTTTTTTCTCAAAAATCCCATTTATTATTAAAAATTAAGAAAACAAAATAAATATCAAACTTATAAACAAAATTTTCCTACATTCAAACTATAACACTTTTTACGAATAAATTCTAACAAATAAAATTGCTAATTTAACTATTTCATCATTTAAAAAAAAACTAATCCATATTCTAAAAAATCAGGATTTGGAAAATAAATCTTAGAAAAATAGTTCATTTTCATTTTTTATAAAGAAAAATAAAAAATGACATGCTTGAACAAAAAAAAAAAAGAATGTTAGCGATAATAGAGTAAAAAAAAAAAAGATTACTAGAATATATTTGATTTGTGCATAACATCTGATTAAAATTATTATTTACCGCATTTTTCACTTGACAAAATTAGTTTATCTTTTTCATTTTAGAGGCATTTGGAGTATTTATAAAACGGTATTTTGGATCTTTTACATCCTAAACTCTCTGTCGAATGGAAAATTGCTTATAAACTTTTAATTAGCTCTTTAAATTGTCAAACTGTTGTAATTTGACCCAATTTGATAGTGTAATCTAAAGTGACCACTAAAAAAAGAGCGTTAATTGTCAAAATTAAAAATTTATTGTACAATTTAACAATGCATAAAATTTTTTTAGGATAAAATGACAAAAATATGAGTTACTTATAAGCATTTTCGTCACTAATTTATAAAAAATTATCAATTTGGAACAAATTGTAATCTTATTTTAAATTCAGTGCCAAAATTCAAAGTTCATGAATCAGTTGGTCAGAAACAAAAAGTTTAGAAGTATAGTGCCAAATTAATTTAACAAATGTTTCCTGAATTATGTATATTAGTTCGACATGTCCGTCAAATTAAAAAGAAAAAAAAGGTCCATTTCACCTCTCAATTTATGCAAAGAGGTTCAAAATAATAATTCAATAGACATGTTAAACTAGAATACATTTCGTAATTCAAATCACAATTTAAATTTTTTTATGTGAGAGAAACCACTATATTAAAATAATTAAATTTATATTTTTATTAAAGAAAACGCTATTATAAAAAAAGTTTGAGTTATTAAAAAAACAATGCATAGTTCATAAATAAGACATGTACAGAACTAGTGGTCCAGTTTAATTCATGTATTTTAGTCAATAATTCGAGTTGAGATGAGATTTAAATTTTTTTTTATAAGAGAAAAATAATATAACAAACTCAGGTCTCGTTCATTTCGTCGATTCGAGTTTTCAATTTTAAGTTTTTACAGTAACTTTTTCTATCTCAGACTCGAATTGAAAACTCAAATTCGAGAACTAAACGAGACCTCAGAATCGTGGTTTTGTAATACGTAAACCATGACAGGGCAACAGTGTACATTACAAAACCACGACAGGCCTTTAGGGTTATATATCTCAGACTTCTATAATGGCCAAGGGTGTCATTGTGATTAAATTCGGTCAAAGACAAGTTCTCACGGTATTGGTAAAAATCAGAGGGCGTCCGTGCAATCTTTCGTTAGAATCATGACTAAGTTCTACAGCCTGCCCTCGTATTAGAGAAAAAGGCAGTAGTAGTAGTACACATTTATGAAGTATCGTCAACATCATTCTGAAACCACACTAGTCGTATGATCTTATCTACTATCTACTGTGGAAACGGGTATGTTTTACCTTTCAACCAGTCAAAAGGATCATCTAAAAGAAAAGAAAAAAAAAAAAAAAAAAAAGTAAAGAACGAAAGACAAAACTGGAAGACTAGAATTTATTAAGGGATGAGTCCCCATTGGGAGGAGCGCAAAAGCTGCACTAGCAGGGCCAGCCATAGCTTGTAAAAAGCTCCACAAATGGCTGCCACAAAGTCCTCAAACAAATTTGCACATCTTAAATTAGTGGATTTGATTTTTTTTCTCTCTCCTCGTTTAATCGTTAATTTAAATTTTTAATTTAAATTAAAATATAATTTTATGTGAAAATTTTTTATTATAATAAAAAAATTAAATATAATTATTTTTGAGAATTTTTTATTGTAATACTACTCATATTTTAAACTTAAATCGGTGAAATAAACACCATTTTTATGTGAGAGCTTTTTATTATAATAAAAAAATTAAATATAACTGTTTCTAATAAGTTTTTACTGTAATAAAACTCAAATTGATAAAATGAACGGATCTTAATGGATATTTAATTCATAAATTCAGAATCATTCTTGATTTTATGTGTATTTTTATAAGAAAAAATATAATAATAAATTATGAATTATGATTTAAATTATGATACGAATGTATCAAACAAACGCATTCTTAATACTTGGTTGGCCCGGGGGTCTTTTATTGGGTATGGTACACATAGAAAGGGACCTCAGGTGGAGAGATACTGCTAACTTTTTTGAAAAGTTGGAAAAGTTTTTGCTTGTTTAAGTGGTGAAGAAACTTAACGTGAAAATTACGTGTCTTCTTTGAAGCGTTTCTTTCATAGAGTCCCGTCGACATACACTGGAGAGAGAGAGAGAGAGAGAGAGAGAAGATAACTCCCAATTCTTTGTATAAACGTTTTAGACTTTTTTGGTGCTACTGTCCCAAGGATCTCTAGCTCAGGATTGAGTTAGATGTCCTCGTAATTTGTTTTCTTTCCGTATCACTCAATAAAATTTGCCCTATCATTTTAACAGTAATGACTTTTTAATTGAGATAAAAAAGAATTTTATTTGAGATAATATTTTAATTAACGTGTCATGATATTATAATACTCTTAAATGGAGGTTTGTTCTAACCTAAGTTGTAGGGAAAAAAAAAAGTGACACAATTCTTATTCTTTAGGGC